GCATCGGGAGTTATTTTTCTTGCTAGAATAGCATTATGCATATATGTACAAAATGTTTATTAATCCTCTTTCATCTATGAATTTACGATTCGTTGGCTGTATCGATGGATTCTTTGACCGATTAGAGTCAATTTAGTGAAGATCTAATCGCATTGTATTTTTTTTTCATAATTTCTGAATTCAACCGTAAGAGCATATTTATAATTAATTTTTATAATTAATATGCAAATTATAATTTCGTTTAAGTAGAAATAATTCGAAATCAGACGAATAATAACGTACTGCGCTGTCCTTGTTCTTAAAGCTCAATTTACATACAAATTATCTCGAGTCTTTTTAATTACTTATAATTAAAAAAATTTATGTCTTAATATTTCTGACAGAAGAGACAACTCTAAATTGGTCGTTAAATTCGCAACATAGATGCATCAGAACGAATTGCTTAAAACTCGAGACATTGTATATGTCAGATGGCAAACATCGTGGTAATAATTGAGCCGTCGTCCTCCATCGTTGCCATCGTCATCGCAATTTTAATCGGTCTCTCGCTTTAAGCTCCGTGGGCGAAATACTTGACCAGTCCTGGTTTCATACATGCGGGTCTTATCTGTCCATTTTGTTTACCTCGCGGTACTTTTTGCCGATTCCCGCTTTTGCCATTCCTTACATCCACTATTTGTTACATCTTAATGCTTCACCAGGCTGCGCACGTATTTTTGCTCTTAATTGCACTCTTTATATCTGTCTGGAAATAGTTTGAAAGAATGACCGTCATAAATTGACCTCGAAAAAAAAACACACAAGATTGTGTCCACGAAAATTATGTGAAAAACGCTGTTTATTTTAGTAAACAAAATTTTCTAGATATAACACAACTATGATTCATGCAAATTATCATGTACAAACTTAGTGTTAATGAATCAAAGATAATTTAAATAATAAGGAAGAAATCTTTTTTATTTAAATCCCTCTTTCAAGCTACTGAAAAAATGGTTTTTATGTATCATATGTTTCGCAGATAATTTTTGTCATAATTAAATAAAATTAATATACATAAAAGCATACAGATTTTTTAAATATATAATCATATAAATATAAATAATATATATATATATATATATATATATATATATATATATAGAAAGAGAGAGAGAGCACATTTTTATTTCTTTAAGACTTATTAATCAAATTATTGATTTTTTTCGATATATTAAAATTAACATTGATTCACAGACTAAGAATTAATAATGTTAAATTTATTAATTGCTCAAAAGATTTTGATAAATGTGGAATATAATGGAAAATAAATTAGATACAGCGCGAGAAACAGTATAATGGTATCTGTCGCGATCCTCTGCGTTGCAGCAAGAATACTTTTTCATCGTTATAGCGTTCGCGCATCCTATATATGGTGATACTAAATCTCGCGTGGTTATTCGAGAAATTAGTCGGTCGGATGCTCGTAAATAAAACCGGCGTGACTAAAGATTTTAAAAGCGTCGTTTGGAAGGTTGTCTCGTCTACCTGATGGCTCAATATACCTGCGGCTTCATAGAATTCATTATATATTCACGTCTCTTTCCACATTTGCTCGCTACTGAAATAGACATATAAAGTAAAGCTGATAAGAGATACTTTACCATAAATGTACATAAATGCAGCGGGGCTTTCAGCCATCGTATCAATTTAATAGATGTCATTATCTTTATTACTACTTCGTCGCTGCTAATTCGCGAGGCGCACATTTACATATATGTATATAAATAAAAAGCAAATTAATCTCTCTCTCTCTCTCTCTCTAAATATAGATATATTGTATCAAAAGATTTCACAATTTTTCATTCTATCAACAACGCGGCGCCATAAAAAAATGAATGAAATGAATCCAGTAATAATTAAAATGAAAAACCGGTAACGATTGAGGTTTTAAACGCGATGAATTTAACCCAACCGCAAATCATTTTTATTTGACCTTTACGAGCTTTTGAGAGCCCAGGTACAAGTGCGAGAACGTTAGAAGGATTAAGAACAGACGCCTCTTCGCGTAGAACCAACACTGAATGTCAGAAGAATATTTAATTCCAATGCTTCGATCATAAGCATCGCTTGTAAACAGATCGTATTTCAAACTAACAAACGTCTTGTCAATATTTTCTTCCATCTCCATCATCACCAAACTTCTTTCCTGTACTCGCCCAAGGCTCGCTAAATTAATACAAATGTATTATTCATTCATTAACGTATACAATTTATATTAATATGAGAAATTGTTGCATCTTTAAATATATATTTGGATATAATTTTACATCCTATTTGTATATGTATGAAAAGTAATGCATGTAGGAACGATATACATATTGAAAAAAATTAATATACGAATTTTAAATTAATTATTTTATTCATTAATTTAATTTCTACTCATACTGGAATGATATTAAAATTGAGAAATAATCTATTTTAATGTCAGTCTCTTCTAAAATTGTATCACATTAATATTAGGCAGTTTTTTCGATTTTTTTAAGAATGTTTCACACTGCTCAATAATTGTATTATTGCCATAGATTGTAATCCCTTACGGTAGTGAGAACGAAAAATCAATTACAGCTTTGAACATAGCGTGCGTGCTAGATGCACACGTCTCTCCTGGGCACATCGTAATTCACACCGCAAGACTTTCACCGTTAATCGTTCATCGACTTTCGAACTCTCGTGTAAAAGATACGCGACGTGTACCGTACTTCGATAATGGCTCGTAAATCATTTCGTTCCTCTCCCTAGGATGCGCGACTTACACACACACGTTGCCTGATTATTTCTAACAATATATACATATAGACGTTTCCGACATCCCTCTAATTTAGTTAACGACAGTGACGAACTAATACAAGATTTTAAAAAAAGAAGATCATGATAGATGGATAGTGAGAAAAATCGCGTTCGTGTTCGTTCACATCCTACGTCGCGTTAACTAATCGACATCCTGAATATGCATAAGAAATGAGCCAGCAAATTATGCTTCATGTCTTAGAAATGTTCGGATCGGTGCTACGTCCGCACACATGCTCGCGATCAAGGGGATTCGCACGTGGTCGTGTGATGACATTTCGGATTAAGAGAACCGCTGAATTATTCATTCGACCTAACGACGTGCGAAATATAAGCAATTCTGAGCCTGAACGCATTACGTCACTCTAATCCGATGGTCAATGTCTACCGAGGCTAATGAAAGAAGAGAGAGAGACACGCTGTTATTACGTCGTCATTCACTCGGACGAATGCGACGAATGGTTTAGGTAGAGAGCTCGATAGGATTCAATATGCCTTTCTTGCGTCATTCGACCCTTCTTAGTCTTGTTATCTGCGACCTATAATCGAGATAAAGCCGTACAAGTTCGGATCCACGAGTCGTGATCGAAAATCGTATGGGGTGTATGTGGCGTGTCTCGGATCGATACTCGGAGAGATGGCGAAGGGAAAGAACGCCGGGAATAAAGAATAGTCGAGAACAGATCCATCACCAGGTGAACGATCGACCGGTCGAGTTATCCGTCATCCCATCTAGGTTCACCAGCCGCCGATACTCCTCCACATCCGTCTCTCTCTTCGTTCGTCTGTCCGGTAAAGGTGTGGCCGGCGAGACAAACGGGCTGACAGTCAGACAGTCGGTTGTCTTTCCACGTGTACATATACGCGTGCACGCCTCATCTCCAATTCTCCTTTTCTCTTTCTTTTCCCATCTCGTCTTCAACGTGCACGATAAAAAGACCGCGGCGGCTTCCTGAAAGCATTTAATTGCCGGCCTGGCACGCGATCAAATATCAATTATCAACACTTTACGGAGCCGCTCGTCGCGGAGCGAGAGCTCTTAAGTTCAACTTCGTCATCGGGCCGTGCGGATTAAATCGCTCTTATTTAAGCGAAACGGCTCAACTCGCCGAGTTGATTGATCATCGATGTTCTCTCATTTTCGAATCATTAGTTGTGCATTTTTCTTAATGGTCCGCTCTCAGAGAGTATTGTTCGCTTAATCCAATGCTGCCGTCGAATAAATCGCGTCATCTTAGATAATAATTTTACGATTACCTGGCCTCGAAGAAAATAATTACTATACGCAAGACGAGTTTCTTATTAAAATTTCAATTTAGTTAATCTCTGAGAAACATTTTTTATGTTAGTGAAAAATTCTTCTGAAAAGACAAAATTTCATCTCGAATGAGAAATTATACGTCACGTATTATCTGTTTAAATCGAGATAAAGGGTAGCTCGGTGATTGCGTGGAGATGCAATGATAGGAATGATACAGATAGATAAACGAGATAGATACACGGAAGAGATTTCCAGCCACGTTAGGCTCTGTAAAGATCGATAATGACGCGTTTATCCAGACAATCTCAATTTGACATTGTCCTTTGTGCGTAGCGAATGTCGCATTTAACCGCGAGATTACCCAACGCCGCATTCAGCGATTGCATCGATCGATCTCATTGTCAGATCTGAAATCTGCCTTTCGAGGTGAGTGTGATCGCGCCTTGATTGGCAGCTCTCCGAAGAGATCGGTGCCGACGCAATGGACGAGCCGAAGCACTTCCCCGGAGGCGTAAAACGGTACCGAATACGCTGCACGATGCAATCCACAGTCATGATGATTATATAATATCAGAAACAATGATAGTAATCGCGATAGGAGCAAGAGTACCATATCGATAATTACATAATTATGTAAGACATCTCAATAAAATCGAGATGAATATCTACTTATTTTCGACAAACGTTAGATGTTTCGTACTGTATTATTTGAAACACAATTATATGCAAATGTACTAATTCTTACTATTTTTATTACTATTGTTGCTATTTCTTTTTAATTTGCAAAATTATTTCTTTTATTTCCTCTTATTATTTTTCTATATACATCGAATATAAAGTTCAATGTGTGCAATAATTTTTTAAAATATTAAATTTGCTGCTGTAATTAAAGTCTATTATTTGTTTATTACAGATCAACTCTAATAATCTGGAAGGAGGAGGAGGTCTAGGAGAGACATCGGGCGCCAACAGAGCAATCCTACGGTAAATAATTCATGATTTATATAATAATTATTTATTAATTAATTGCGCACTTAAATTAAGCGATTAATCGTATAATTTAATTTTTTTATTTACATTAATAATAAAACAAGAGAAAATTAAAGAAAAAAATTACAAAAGCTATAATCTTGTAAAAGTTTCTATTTTTAGAGAATGATAATACAGTTTATAATTATAATATAATTATAACTTTTATATAGAGTTATTAGAGAATTGTTAAAATAATTTATTTTTAATTTGCAAAATTATTTTTTTATCTGCTTATTTTTTTTCATATACATCGAATATAAAATTCAATAATTTTTAAAATATTAATTATTTAATTAATATTTTATTTGTCTTTTGCAGATCAACCTTGACAATCTGATTGTGAGAGGAGGAGGTAGTCTAGAAGGGGTATGTTAAATGATATATTTAAATAATTCTTTAAAAAATAATATAAATATAAATATATATTTTTAAGTAATGTAAATATATATTTAGTATATATTTTAAATATCACAAAGATCAAAAAAGCCGATTTCGTCGGAACGTTGGAAACACGTCAGTGAATTCAATATTTCTTCAATATTTATGCAGGATATTAATATGTAAATATGTACAAATGATGTAACTGATAATTTGTTATCGTGTATCATGTAATGTTTAATCCCGTGAGCAGTATTTTTGGCATATTAATAGCATCCGCGTGCATTAATAAGCAAGAAATTTCCTTTGGAGAACCAGTCAGAGCTATTCCCAGTGGCTGTTCGTGAGAAATACTCTATGCTTACACAGGCAGAGCTTAGTTAACGGAATCGTTCGCTCGTTCATTCCAACATCAACCCTGAACTCAAGAAACCCGCTCGAAGGCACTTGGTACACGTCAACGTCAAGTTTGTACCTACGCCGGGTAAAAGTGTAAGAATAGAATCGAATGGATAGGTTCTTCTCTGCGGCTCGTTGTCGAGAAGGAGCAGAGAGCACAGAAAGACAGAGAGCGAAAAGGAGAGAAGAGTACTTCGCGAGTTGTATGGTTGGTAGGTCTTTAAAAACCTTTAAGAGGCATGCGCGTTATCGTTAATAGCGTGCGAGAAGAGGCCTACGAGGAAAACAAAGACGCCATTGTCGCGTTTATGGAACTTGACGTTATGGTCACGATATAATCGATAAGTCATAATTTGATGACTCTATTTCTTAAAATCAATAGTCTAAATCATAAGTGTCATCATCTCGACTTTACTTGTAGAATCATCTTTATTTTAGGAGTATTATATTTATTTTTTGAGATACAAAAAATAAATTAACAAAAATTATCATCAATATAAAAAAGATAAATATTATAAAATATATACGAATATATATTTATATTTTTATAATTTTTATAATATCCTCAGGGTTATCTTAATACGTTCGAGAGGAAATGATTACCTCGTCGAATCCAGTTTGAATAAAATTGGGACATAAGAAAATAAAAAAATACATATTTTATATAATATCTCGCTTTTATTTTTGCTGATAATAATTATCGTTAATTTATTTTAATTTCTCAATTTGTATCTCAAATATGTATATTTCCAAGAGTGATTCTAAAAAGAATGAGTCAGATAAAGTCGAGAAATGATGCTTATGGTTTGGACTATTGACTTTAAGAAATAGAGTCATCAAGTTACGGCTCATCTTAATTATTAAATGAGGAGTCAAAGAAAGCGCGCAAAGATCCTCTCTTCCCGGTTTTTTCTTTTGATTTCTATACTTCTGGGTGGTTCGTATAAAATTCCTCGAAAACATTCCTTGAACGTGCAGGAGGTCGACGGCTTTGGCCGCAATCGGGGTGGGAAAAGTTGGTCTCTGCGGGTTACCTCTGAGTTCGTCGAATTTCTTGACTCACGTCGATTGCCGCGGATACGGCGGTACCTACGGCGTCTTAGAGATACGTGACGGCTGTTAACATCTTCTTTCGTTCTCTCTCAACCCTACTCCCACGTGAAACAAAATGAAGGAGGAAAAGGACAATAAATAACGGCTGCTTCTGGCGACGCTGATCGCGCCTTCTAGCATTCCTAAATGAAACGCGGTGCCATCGGCAGGTGAGACGCGGATATTTCCGGTACCGCGTCGCATTTCGTGTCGCCGAGATAAGATGACTATGTTCGGCATAGTTTGGTAAGTGCCGTAGATAAGGGTGTCTCGTCGAAACGACTTCGGTGCGTTACGTCGTCTTCACCTAATCGGTCCAAGTTGTAATCTTAATTATGTCCAAATGTCGTTGGAAAATATATGGTGAATATATCAATAGCCAAGCTTACAGTTCAGTTTAGAAAAGGTCTTTGAAAGAAATTCGGACGTAAGATACGCGATTATCAAGGCTTTAGAACGAGGGAATGGCTTTTATAACGACTATCTTGGATAAAAATAAAAGCATTTTTCTGCACGTCCCCTTGTTATCTTCACTGTTTTGTTCATCTTAAGCTCCAAGTATTCGAACGTATGATTAATTCTAGTGCCTTTCATAATTTATACCAGAATTAATATAATAAAGATAATTAAATAAATATAATTAGTATAATTAATTAATATAATATATAAATATACATACATATAATACGTATTATTGTCTGACCATTATTTTCTCATCAGGTGTCATTTTCATAAAATCAAAGTACGTAATTTATAAAAATAATTAATAAATAAAAATTTTACTTAATAAAATAATTTATAAAAATAATTAATTAATAAAAATAATAAATACATAATATATAATAAAATTCTCTAAATATAAGAACAGAATACGGAGTTTGTTACTTAAATTTGGGACGGTATTCCCATTTTATTCCCGTTATATCATACATTTTGTCGCGAAGTGCCGAAAAGAAGTTGCGACAACGGACTTAATAATAACGCGAATCGTGTAATCACACGATGTAATCAAGCGGCCGATGAGATATCTCAGGCTAAATGAAATGTCATAAACTCGACTCGCGGCTTTAATGAAAACGTTGGCGCACCAATCTCACCACGAGACTCACTAATTACTGTGTCCTGGCGATTGTCGGGATTAAGCCGCGGCACGTAGATTACGACAGCTTCCTAGTCGTGATTAATACGCGTCATTACAAAATAAACTTTGGATAATTTGTACGGGGTGGCTGCCAAAGAGGTAACACATAAGGGGACACGATAATTAACTCTGTACCAATCATCGTTAGCGGCGCGTTCGATCGCCGATTGCGGCGAAATCGTGCGCCAAGAATCACGCGCGTGGGCATCGAGATGCAATGCGCTATCTTCGCTAATAAACGTACCATTATCCAATTTACCGTTTTCTATAATTCACGTGCGCCGACGAGGATAGCAGTGCGCGCCGCGTCCGCTTCATGTTAAGATTGATGATTTGCCTATCTGCGCCGGCGATCTTTATTTACATATAATTAACTCGTGGCTCTCTTTGAAGCCGAATTAATTATCTACTAAAATGCACGATTAATACGCTCACCAGTCTTAGCCTCTCTTCCTGTGTAATTTCTCCGCTTTTGTGACAGCTATCTGATGGCATTAGCGAGCCCGCGATAATTCATATGTGCCTCTCCGCGAGATCGCAAATCATTTTTCATCTCCGTCATCGGCCGAATGGAATCTACTTGTGTATTCATCCCGGCGACAATCGATGAACATTACGGACATTTAAATGTGCTTACATTATGAAAACATCGTTACCTCATTCTAGAGCCGAGTTTTAAATCATTTCGCGAGTCTCATTTATTTCTCTTTCTCTCTCTTTCACGTGAAGTAGAATTTAAGTAAATTGTTGACACTAATGCATTTATTTAATGTAATCTGAATATCTAATATATTATATAAACGAAATAACATATACATATAAGCTTTCATTTACGCTCATATTTTATTCGTATATGCAGAGTGTTTCCTAATAAGTGCGAAAAAATTTAGGAGATTCTTTGTCGAAAATTAAGGGAGTTTTTCATATAAATATATACTCCGATATCCTTTCCGGTGGAGTTACACTCCTCCGAAAATGGGAGTAGAAATTAGATTTTCATTTTTTTCTCAAATTTAAAACAAATTAAAGAAATGAAATTAAATGGATATTTTCTATCAGTAAAAAAGTTATTTATTAATATTTTTTCAGCCTCTTGTATTGTTATAAGAGAATGAAACTAGCAACTCCTATTCAATTTTTATTAGAACTTTTTAATGTTTATATGAAAAACCCCCTTAATTTTCGACGAAAGACTCATCTAAAATTTTTCGCACTTAAGAAACACTTTGTATATTATATATTAATATTTATTATATATATTAATATATTAATATTTATATATTAATTAAAACATGTGCGTAATAAAACTTAAAAAATTATTCTGTAAGACTGTAATATTCAGTTTCACAATTTAATGAACGTAATGAGATTATATATTTTTGCGTTGCATCTATAATAGATTTATTCCATAAGATACGATATATCGATTAATTTGCTTATCAGATATGCAATTTTCTTTTTTATCGCAAACTCGAGATCAAAGAAAGTCACACGCTAGTAGTAGCCTATGCTCGGACACATTGCTTCATAGCTGTTGTCAATAAATCTACGTTGGCGAGATCGGCTATCAAATTAACAGCGCGCGGCTCGGAGGCACATAAGAAATGGGAACTTGAAGAGGTTGTTTCAAGAGATTTTCGTTAACGCGTACGCGCTCTCGTTACTCGTTCTGCATCTCGTTTGCATTCGTCGGCGCGATATATAGGCGCGAAAGTGCTTACTTCTCCTTCGTCGCGGTGAATGCCGGACACTGCGGCTTGTCGAAAAAGGAAGGCGTCGAGAGGAGCGAAGGGAACGACGATGTGTGAACGATGCAGAAGAAGAGGAAAGAGGAGATGGAAGAGATGTTTACGTTGGACTAAGGGAGGCCTCGTTACGTTCCCTTGGTATATACGCAACGAGATAATATCAGTTCAGTACGGATACACATACACACGAGAGAAAATATGGTTACCTATTCTAGTTAACGCGTACCATAAAATTGACGAGCTGTTAAAGACGTGAATTAGAATTGCAATTTTTGATTACTTATAGAATTCCATTTATCGTAAAGAATTTTTCCTTCACTACGTGTAAGAATTAAGATTTCAATGTATATATTTTAAATCGAGTAACTGTCCTTTGTTGCAGCTCGTGTAATTATTAACGTTTTAATGTATAAACTGATGAGCATTTATATTTCGACTTGCGTGTTGCAACTTTGTGTGCGTTATTTTTCATTTTTTTGGAAATAAAACTTAATCGTTTTTGTACAGCATATAATTCGCTTTGCAAGATGCAATTAATGTCTGGCGATTTATACGCGCGCCGTCTCGCGCTTTATTAAATCTATTCATATTCCGGCGCAAAGCATTAAGATTAACTGCTCTGGAGCACGAGATTCTTTGCACAATAGAAGGCAAATTTTAAAGTTGGATACAGAAGTATCCATAAATCTATAATATACATTTATTTCTTCTTTAGTTATTTATTTATTATACGTACGCAGATATATTAAAGATTATATTTATAAATTACATGCAATTATATTGTAGAACTCTGTTAGACATGGTTAAAGATTTTTAAAAATCTTTATATTTCTGTCTCATTAATTATTTATAAGAGAAGAATCTTCGAAATAAAATCATCTGTTTCTTCCTTTATATATTAATAATTTATAATTAAAATATACATATATGTATTGTGTGGATCTAATAACGACAAAGTATTGCATCTTGTACGAAAAATTATCTATAAAAATTTAAAATTTATCTTCAGGATTTTTTAAATTTTCTTATAAGATTTATAAGCAATTTTAATTAATAATCGCATAAAAATTTTACAGAAAAATGTCATAATAAATTTCATAGATACTCCAACTGCTTTTTTTCTTAACTCGGCACACCTCATCGAAAATATGTCTGGCCCTTCGTGTGAAATATTTTGCCACCCTCGTCGAGCGTTAACGAATCTTCGCGCAAATCTCCGAGTGCGAAACGTACAAGTTGTTGCTCGCTGTTAAAGTCACGCCGAATCGTGCGGCCTACGTCGACATGAGGCAGAAGGGACCGAAAGATATTCGCAAGCTCGCATTAAGCTCTCTCTCTCCTCTCTGTTTTCTTTGATCTCAGTCAGTCTTCTCGCCTCCCTCGTTGCCTTCCCTCGTCGACAAGCACGAGTCTGCATCACGTGGAGAGGCGCGATCTCGTAATTATTACGTCGTGAAGGATGGGAAGTGACGCGATGATTACCGCCGTTGCCAACCTCCTTGAAGCCCCAACGCGCTATTCTCTCGCCTCTCGGCTTCATTTTCTTTATTTATTGCCAGGTTCCGCTCGTGCGCCATATTTTGCGATTTAGCGACAATGACATTTCGTCGCGCGTCATGATTCGTTTCTTATAAATGTGAAATACGACGGATATACTTGCGAAGATAATATAATGGAGGAATTTTCGTCAAGTATAAAACCGCTTATTATAACGTAATACTTAGGGTTTAATTAGCATGATGTAATCGCTAAGGATTCCATTTCGACATAAATATATATCTGCTAATCATGAGTCTATGATACCTCGATTGAACACATTAAGCTGTCTTTTCATCACCGGGAACAAAGGCTGAAATGATGAAAGGGAATACGAAGAGATTAGATTCGAATCTAATATAACTCTGGTTCTCATCAACCGGAAACATGTTATCTTTATCTAACACAAAATATAAAACATAGCATGAGATCAGCCTAGCGAATCATGCGGTAATGTAAAAGTGCTGTCATAGTCCTGACAGGGTCAATTATCCCTACCATCGACCGCCGCCATTCTCGACGTTAATTGTCGAGCGTTATAACGTGGCACGACATGCCAGCAGCACAGGCGCCACATTAAAAAGAGGAGCAAACGGCCAAGTGCGTCCTCCTTGCACGGTAGGATGCGTCCAGCCGCCATTTTGGTGGCGGTGCAACAGAGGGGTAATAACTGCAGGAATTCATGGTAATGGCGATAATGCGTGCCCGGACGACGAGGCCCGCGGGGCTGAAGGGCGAAAGGGACGGGACCCACCGAAGAGAAGAAGTGGGGAGACTCCGCGTGTCACGATGCAGAAACTTACGTACGCCTTCACGTACGTTTCGTGCGTACGTGCGAACACCGATCTCGAGGGGGAACCATGGGAGCGGGACCGGCCTGTTTCTGATTGGTTGAAGCACGTCCACCGGATGTTGGAGGTCGGTTCTACGTTGGGGGAAAGTATTTGAATTATCCCTCGCAATTTACACGGCATCGATAGCAAAGAAAATTCGATAAATTTTTCTAAAATTGACAATTGATAATTTTTAAAAAATTGCAATTTTATCTCCCAAAAAAATCTGAGAACGAACATTGTGAAAAAAATTGTCACTGCAATATACTCGTATCAATGTCTATATACGTTTTATTTTGAAGCTAAATTTAATAAAAATTGTTAAAAATTACAGCTGCATATTTTTGGCATTTATATTTTTATAAAATATTTGAATTATCCTTCGTAATTTACACGGCATCGATAGCAAAGAAAATTCGATAATTTTTTTTTAAATTGACAATTGATAATTTTTAAAAAATTGCAATTTTATCTCCCAAAGAAATCTGAGAACGAATTTTGTAAAAAAAATTGTCACTGCAATATACTCGTATCAATGTCTATACACTTCATGGTACGTTTTATTTTGAAGCTAAGTTTAATAAAAATTGTTAAAAATTACAGCTGCATATTTTTGGCATTTATATTCTTATAAAATATAATGGAAATTCTTTTAATTAAACAGATTTCAAGCTGCGAAAATCGATCCAGTCCTTTTATTATATTTCTCTTAATTTAGCTACTTTAAAATGATACGATATAAATGAAAAATAAATGAAAAGAGATAAGGAATAGGAAAGCACGAAGCATACGTCATAATCTTTCATAGCAGTCTTGCATATAATTCATAATTTTAATATTTTTCTCTCAACATGCTTATCCGTATATTTAATATGATAGTGTTATTATGTACCGTTATTCTCAACATTTAATTATAAGAGAAAAAGTAATATTACCGCTATATAGATATTCGTATTAAATATAGTTTATACCTATAATTAAGACTACCACGAACGAAAAATGTGGCAAAAAGTGCGGCACATGTCCGCATTATTTATCATTATGTTTAATGGACGTGCTTAAGACGATCACATCGTGTGCTCTTAATAGCGATTTCTTTCATGATTGCGTCGTCGTTCATCCAGTGTCCAACCCTTGATTTGGAGCAATTCGGATTAATGAAAATTCTCGTGTAATATTTCCTGCATACGGCAGGTAGAGTGAGAAATAAACATCTCCGCAGAGTAACAAGCCAAGTTGTTGTATGTGTCTTCTTTACGAATTCTACCACAGCTGTTGCCAGGTGATCAACATTTACTGCCCCAATAAAGACTAATGTCACCTTTGAGTCTCGTCTCTGTACTTTTTGTGAAATTATATACAAAAATATATGAGAAGCAATAAATATTACTGTACTGTACGTCGTATCGTTAATTAAGAGAGAATCTGAACAAGTACTTGATTTGGAAGAATTTCTATGGGGAAGGAATAGAAATTTCACAGCATCGTTACAATGAATTTCGTTAATGTTTACTCAAGAGGGATCCATCCGAATCTTAAAGCACGCACTAGACGGGAAAAGCTGTTTAACGAATAAACACGTTGCAAATAAGAGTCGAGTGTGTATACGAAGAATAACCTGGTCTTGATGTGGACAGATGCATGGCTCGCTCGAAACGACCACTCGTCATCTTTCGAGAATCTTTCTAGTTGAAGTGATGACAAGAAAAACCGACAGACTATAGTAAATGACCAACGTCGTATTGCTCGATTAATGAAGCAAAAATATTTTAATGCTTCTACTCGTATCTGATGAAAATTTCTTAAATCGCGCTCGAATAATTTAATATGGACCAATTAATATATTTTAATAAAATATATAATTATTTAATGAATATTTAATATATTTAATATATTTTAGTAAAATATTTCTTAAATATAAAATATAAAATATTATCTTAAATATAAAATATTTCTTAAATATTTAAAAGTTAACGATATATAAGATAGAATGACGAGAAATTAAATATTATTTTTCTAATATCAATTTTGATTAATGTTATTTAGATATCAAAAATTAGATCTTATTATCTTATTAAAAGAGTTTCTCGTTTATCTTCATAAATTTGTAAATTTTAATTGAATAATACATTAACTGGTCCTACTTTGGAAGATATAATTTTATTTTAGACATTTATATTTTGATTTTTAAAAGCATAATTTATATATGGGAAATTTCTATCTTTCAATTACTCATAATATATAACTAAAATAACTAATAGATCGTATATGGAACGTAGATTAAAGCAATGTAATTCTAGTATTGTGAGAAAGACTCACCAAGGGTGCCATCCACCGTTTTCCGGGAGAAAGAATGCCTATCGTTTCTCCATGCCCAGGAACACAAGTCGCACGTGGTGAGTCCATCGGTGGCGATGCTTTCTTCGGGTAAAAAAGGTGGTCTAGGTGGCGGCGGTACAAAGTTGCCAATAACAGCCCATAAAGAATCGATGTCGTTGCCGACACCGGTGTAATATAGCAATTCTTCTTCGGCGACACCGGCGAACCAATCCATGTCATTTATACTAGGATAGACCGTGTTCGTGCTTGTCGTAGTCGTGCTCGTGACCGTGACCTGAAAATAAAACAGTTGGTTAGCCCAAATTTACACGATTTCAACGATTTACACGATTTAAATAATTTTAGAAATTTTTTATATGATTTTCCCTCTAATTTTAACCTAATTGTAACTGCAATTATTTTTACATATTATAATTAAGTATGTATTATATACATTCAATGTGCAAAATTCGATGCATATAATAATAATACATTTTTTAAATATATTCTTTATTATATATTTATATATTTATTATATATTTTTATTATATATTTATTTTTCTCTTTTTATCTATGTCTTGTATATTATTTGTACATTTATTCTGCAAATATCTTGACAGTTCAATCCAATTTAATTTTAGATTCAATCTATTAATTACAGTTTTATAGAGATTAATAAGATTTTTATTACTACGAATGCAAACTTATTTAATAAGGCACGATTTAAATTTTTATATACGCGCAGTATATCTTTTAGTCCCAAGTAAACACAGCTAATGGAACTCTCATCGTACCCTTGCACAAAGTTATGGAAAAAAAAATTAAACGCATTCAGTCTGTCTCCACTGGTACATGTTTCAGGAAATGGCGGGGCAAACAAACGTTAAAATCAAAGGAGCGAGGAACACAGTCGGCGCATCTCTGAATATTTTTCTTTCATGAAACAGTGAGATAGACCGGATGAAGCTGGTCTTCACAAAGAGACATCCAATGTCCTAACTCTTACGACAAACACTGAGAACTGTATAGGCGGTAGCCTTTCTTCTTTCCTACTTTATTGGATTGCTATCTGTAGCTTGTACATGAATTTAACAGGAGGCTCGATAGACAATGGAATCATACATTCACGAGTGAATCATCTAAGCATATTCTTGAAAATGTCTGCCATGGAACAGTAAAAGATGACAATAATTTTGCTTTTAAAAGCTACAATTATAAATTTTTTAATTTTAATAGAAACTTAATGAACGAATAAGTATAATCTACTATGTGATAAGGATAACTTTTCAATATACGAAAATCTTATGCTTCGGAATAAATTTATTGATTGAATATCTGATGGAATACTTTACAAAAAAATGTGTATTCGAGATTATAACGTGATTGCACATTTAGCAAGAAAATCGAAGAACCGTATATATCATTATATATTTTTCTCAGCGATTAACTTGCAGAAGAACAGACATTTTAAAATCCGCAGAGCTCGTCAAATGGTGATTACCTCGAGGAAAGATGATGCAAAGTTCCATGTCGTAAGGCGGAGTTTATTGATAGGCAGCAGATGATTATTCGTATCGCTGATGATTATGAAACTATTCACGCGAGACATAAACGCATCTTTCCGTGTCGAGTTCTCTCTCCCTTTAACGCAAAAGTTAATTCTCCAAGTAAACAAGTTTTCGTAAAGAAATATGAACATTATTGTTTTTCCTTTTTTTATTTGATTGAGGTATTAATTAAAATTAAAAGTTTTTAATTATTTTTATTTAGATGATTTAGATTTTAGACGAGATATTAATGCACTGAAATATTATTGCACTGAGAGTGATTGCACGAAAATTAAGAGTTATCTGTTGCATGCAATATGTAATTAATGACTTCATCTATTCGTTATAAAATATTCTGACATTTTTCGCATCATGAATTATATATTAATCAAGGGAAAATTCAAGGAAATGATAGGCTATTGTAATATTCGAGAAATGTAATTTATTACTGGGAAAGAAGGGAAATATTATGCTGTCTTTTAACTATTATATATTTAAATATTAAATATTTAATAATTATAATTAACTAGTATATATTGTTTTGCAGCAACTTTCTTTCTGAATACACTATAAATTAAAAACATGAATTAATACTATATACACATATACGTATTAATAAAAAAATGTAGTTTTATATGAAAGCTGCATCCAAAATGCCAAAATTAAACATCACAAATTATGCATCCAAAATGCCAAAATTAAACATCACAAATTATGCATCCAAAATGCCAAAATTAAATATCACAAATTATATGTACATATAAAGTTAAATTTATTTATAAAATATAAAAGTGCCGAATATGGCTCAATATTCGTGTTCGTCCATCGTGCCTTAAAGGGTTGAGAAGATTGAGGGGCAGAGAAATAATGCCGCGCGAAGCGTTCCTCTCTATTGAATTCCATCAGTCTCGGATCTGGTCGAACGATCGAATGAAATAACCGCTCCACGAGATTCATTCGAGCGCGCCCGCGGTGGTTCTTCGTGTCCAAGACACTCGCGTTCCCCGGTAGAAGTCTCAGATCGGGTTGCATATCATCGACGAGATCGAGAGTCACTGTGTTTATTCTCCTCTCGGTTCTTTGTCGTGGCTTTTCCACAGCGGCGAGGTGGCCGCGATGAAGATTCGACTGCAGGTACGATGCGTCCTTGTATCCTTTATAGAGGTGGGGTACTTTTGTGCTGCAGCAGCAGGCTCGTGGTCGGGATTATGGATGGAACCCGGGAGGAACACGCTCGGGCCCTCCGCACGATGCACAATAGCACGCATTGATCGCCTTAATTACCGTGATATCGGCGTAATTAAAGCCCCGTTGTGTTAGGGGCCCCTTCTACGAGGACGTCGAAGAAACCGATGGGTGACGTGACTCCCGGCTTCGTCGGGATTCGCGCATTTTCTACGCGTCTCTCTTCCCGATTGTATCGTACGATTCTCTCGTCAAAACCCTTCTGTCACTTCTCCGCGTTCCTCGGCACCGCTTTGTTAATAAGCCATTATCCGGTCGGCGACACAACACACCTTCGACGAGGCGCAGGGTTCAATCATCAGCGGAGCTTTTAAGAAACGCGACTCGCTGCATCCAGCTGTGGAAAAATGACGAACGCAATCTCATCCGACATATGCAAGATCATCATAAGTGGAGTTGATTTGCTTTTTATAATAAATACATTCGTTGTATCGCAATTTAATATCGATGAGAGAAAATGGAGGACTACGCTTGCGCCAACGAAAACAACCTTGCCATTTTTTCTCTTTCGTGCTTTTTCTCTTCTGATTTCCCAGACTTTGAAGTCTACATCTCAGGTTTTATCATGTCATTTTTGTTTATGAAAACATTTTACACACAATATATATATATATATATATATATATATATATATATATATTTGTTTGATTTATTCTTTTTTATTAATATTTCAATATTCAATTAATGAATATCATTTAATATGATATTTTTGATCACCCGGAATATATTAAACGATGAGACATCATGAGACAATCGAAGATCGTCAAACGTCAAACTCTCATACGCGATTAATTTTTCCCTGCTTTTGACGCTTCCGTAATAAATAAATTTATTGTGCGATATAGAATCATCTACACGCGTTCCCAATGTTTGGATCCAAGACTGAAATTAACGTATTGTGCATCTTCTCCAAGATAGATAGGAGGTGGATCTTATAACCGGAAAGGACTATCCAATTTCAAAGCTCGTGACCACTTCAAATCAAGTAAGTGACAGCGAAAATCATTTAGATGTCCTCATGATGTAACAATATTTACATTCGATCGATCCTTTATCGCAACATAATCATAGTTCCTATTCGTGACATGATGATATAATCATCGCAATAAACGCTCCACGCTCGTAGTCAATTAAACATTTAAATTATGGGATTGTTCGATTGATTTGTGGATCATCAATATCAGCCTAACAAGAACCAATGTAAATTGTTAGCACCTCGAGCTATCGCTTTTTGATTTCATCATCTGTACTCGTTATGTTCAAAGTCTAGCATCTCGTTATAATTACGAGATGTTTACGAGCGAAAAGGATGATAGCTTATACTTGTTAACTCTAACATTCTCTTCAATGGTTTTGTCGTGGTTTTTCTAGACAGGCTGATATACACTTGATCGTTAAAAGAAACATGGAAAGCATTTCCGTATAAACTTTGCGTTATAATCGTGAATTCACAAGCATACTTTAGGTATAAAAAATATATTCTTCTCTTTCAATATTTTATATTAATCAGCGAAATTAACGAATTATTTGATTATTTACTTTATCTCCTCGTGATTGATAAAGTTGTTCATTTCATATTAAAATATTATTTTATTATAATAATAGAAAAATTTATATGAAAAGAAAAATCATCCGGAAATTTTAATAAATAAAATCACTCACTAGTGTAATTAATTTAAACATTTTGTAATTAATTTAAACAGCCAGTGAAATATTGAAATATTTAAAAATATTGATTACGACATTTGAAACTAACTTTCGCGCGATAGAAACGTCGTTTATTGCTCAGATTCAAAGGGCCGACATTCAGAATGCGGCCAAAATTATAGGGACCCCGTGAAATTTCCATGGTAAAGTAGGTCTAAGATTCTTTTTGCGTTTCGCTTGCGATTCACACCATTGTCCCTACGGTTTCTTTCACGGTCCTGATGACGCCAACATTCTCTATCCTTCTCTCTATTCGTTCTCAAATATATTTTAGAACTCACACTACGGAATTCGCGCCCTGTTTCTATCGAGCCGCCTTTCGACGTGTTTCGTCGGATCGCACGCATTTGCAATTCTGACACATTTGGCGGCGAGGATATAACACATACACACACACACCCTATTCGCAGTCGAACCTGCCCTCTTCGAGATACAAAGGGAGGAGAGTCTCTCGATGTGGCGGGAATGTTGGAATACCAAATACGATTCCCGGAAAGATTCTCTGGTTTCCATCTCGCGTCGCCTCCTCGTCTTCAATCGTGGCCTGACATCCTCCGTCTCGCGATCTTCGTGGTCCCGTGAATTTTCGGCGCTCCTTGGCACAAGACGCATCTCTTATCTTTCTTTCTCAACTCCCCCTCTCTCTCGCGAGTCAAGTTTGAGGGGTCGTTAAGGATGAGTTCGAGAGGCAGAGCCGTATATAACGGATAATTGACAGCCGTGCCGGGGCCGCCGTTTGCTTTGCATGGACATTGAATCCGCGCTGCAACGGATGGACGGGATATACGGCCGAAAG